CAACTACCTGCTGTCGGGCAGCCACGCGGCCGCGCCCGGCGGGACAGGGCCCGGGACCCCGGCGCCACGACCCGGCACGCCGTGGAAGAGCCGCGCGTACGGCCCGGGCATCCAGGGGTGAGTGCGGCTCGGAGCTGCCATTCTGGGGGGTCGTCATCCAGATGTGAGTGCCGGCCGGGGTGCATCCCGGGGGTATGCGGCCGGGGGGTGTCAGCCTGCAGGTCGTCATCCAGGGGTGAATGCCGCCTGGGGTGCATCCAGGGGGATGTGCGGCCCGGAGGTGCCATTCTGGGGGTGTCGTCATCCAGGGGGATGTGCGGCCGGGGTGTCGTCCGGAGGGTTGTCATCCAGCGGTTAGTGGGGCCCGGGGTGTATCCAAGGGGTGTCATCCAGAGGGGTGTTCGGCCTGGAGGTGCCATTCTGGGGGGTCGTTATCCAGGGGCGTGTCATCCAGGGGCAGTGTGCGGCCCGGCGGTGTCATCCTGGGGGTCGTTATCCAGGGGTGAGGGCGGCCTGAGGGTGTCACTCTGGGGGGGGTATATAATCCTGGCGTGGGGCGTGTCATCTTGGGGATCGTCTTCCAGGGGTGAGTGCGGCTCAGGGTGTCATCCAGGGGGATGTACGACCCGGAGGTGCCATTCTGGGGGCCATAATCCAGGCGTGAGTGCGGGCCCCGGGGTGTCATCATCCAGGGGTGAATGCAGCCTGGGGATGACATCCAGGGGGGTGTGCGACCTGGAGGTGTCACTCCATGGGGCCATAATCCCAGTATGAGTGTGGCCTTGAGGTGTCATCCCCTGGGGTTGTCATCCAGGAGTGAATACGGCCTGGGGGTCGCCATCTCAGGGGCCAGGGGCGTTCTGTAGTGGTGAGTGTGGCCTGTGGAGGAGAGGGAAAGGGGAGTGCCCTGGGGGGAGCTGCAAGGGGGTTTCATCCAGGGGTGAAAGCAGCCCAGAGGAGAGAGGGCATTATTCAGGGGTGAGTGTGGCCCAAGTGGGAGATGGGTAGGGGGCACCATAAGCCTAATCTCCTGGGAGAGAGACATTATGGGGGAAAGGCAGCAAGGAGTGGGGGTGCAGGAGGTGAAGGGAAGGGGAGTCGTCAGGAGGGTTGGGAGGGGGCGTCATCCGGCCGTAGTGCTCAGGGATTGGCCCCTGGGGGGCTGGCAGGGAGGGGGGTGTTACCTTGGGGGGGAGTGGAGGCTAGGGGCTGTCATCCGGGGCTGCAGAGGGGTGCAGACAGGGCGCGTCATCCAGAGGGTAGAGGGCGGCGTCAGTAGGAGTGCGGGCAGTGGGTGGGGCGTCATCCTGGGGATGTGCAGGCTGGTGGGGGGGTTATCCCTGGGGAGAATGAGAGCCAGAGGGAGGGTTCGTGGTCCTGTAGGGAGTACAGCATCAAATGGGGTGAGTGCGAGATGGGGGGGTACGCCATCCTGGGGTGAATGCGGCCCTGGAGAGGCACGTCCTCCCACCAGCTCCCACCCCAGGACTTCTCACCCCAGCCCTACCCTGGGCCCTGCAGCCCCCAGGCCTGCCCTGCCCCTGCCTGCTCCTGATTTCTCTCTGGGAAGGATGTAGAATTTAAGGCCAAACCACAGCCGCAGTAAAAAAAAAAATTTTTTTTTTTTTTAAGAATTTTGAACTCTTGATGTAAGTGAGTGATGGGCCCAGATGGCAGAACCAACAGTGCAGGGAAGGGGCTGTGGAGCCCCAGTTGGGCAGGGTCCATTTCCTGCGTCTGGACACTGGGACGGAAATGAACGTTTTCCTTCTCCTCTGTCCCCCACCCGGAGACAAGTTGAGGGCATTTTCTGAAAGCGGGGTACGGACGGGAAAGGACTCTGATAGCAGTTAAAGAATGTTGTGGCGTTGCCAGAAACTGGATGGAGTTCATTTTTTTCCTTTTTAAAAAAGTGCTCATTAAAAAATGACTAATTGGTTTTGTAGTGATAACAGTGTAACCAAAGTGAATTTGAAAGTGATTTTTTTTTGGGGGGGGAGTTGTATGCTGTGATTTAATTTTGTTGTGGAAATTTTAAAAGTTTCTTTTGCAGTATTTTGAAACTGGCCAATAGCATTCAAAGGAAATAATGTTTACCATTCACACGTGTCCTTTTAAGGAGTAGCACACCACTAGAAAATGCCATCTTTTTCAGAAATATTCTCACTGCAGCTTGGAGGGCATTAGAAGCCCTTTGTAGATGCCATTAGCCTCTTCACACACTTGCGGTAAGATGGGTGCTGCCCCTTGGCTTTCCCGGGGTCTGGAAACAAAGTCCTTGTAGGTGAGTTTCATGTCTGTGTTTCAGGGCTTTTAGCGGCAAACTCTCCTGGCGTAATTTCACGCTGACATAAAAGGCTGTAGGTATAGATTACCTTTCAGGGCTTTATGGGCTTTAGGGAGCTCTGGTGGTGCTGTGGTTAAAGTGTTGGGCCGCTAACCAAAAGGTTAGTGGTTCAAACCCACCAGCCACTCTGGGGAGAAAGATGAAGAAGGCTGCTTGCATAAAGATTGACAGCCTTGGAAACCCTGTCCTATAGTGTCTCTGTGAGTCAGAATCGACTCAATGGCAGCGTGTATTTTGTGTCTTAGGGTCTTAGAGACACCTAGACACCTACCAAAAGCCAAAACCAAGTAGATCGCCCCATCTTTCCGCAGAGCAGGTGATGAGTCTGAGCCATCACCCTTCTGGTTAACAGTCATGTACCTTAGGCACTGCGCCCCGGAGCTCCTTCCAGACACCGCTGGGTCCCCGCCACCTCTGGGTATCGGGGACTGCTTTTCCAGGAAGCTTTCTTACCTAGTAGGGCTGCTTGCTTCCGCTCTGAGGTGTGGTAGACGCATGTACGTGGACATGACTTGACGGTATTGCTGATCCACGTAGGCCTGTGTTTGGTCACGCCTTTCACCTGATTAGGGTCGGAAGCATTGCGTTCTTCCCTGCCTCCTGGGCTTGAACTTCAGACCTGCGAGGGTCCGGGTTCTGCCCTTCTGCCTCCGCTTTTTCCCCTAGAACTTTCTGAGGAGAGGTCCCGGGGAGCGGGGTTCTCCCACAGTGTGGCCACAGGCCTGATGGCTTGAGGGCTCCTTTGACAGGACTGGCTGGTTGCTTTCTTACTTTTGTTTTTATCGTGATCTGGGTGAAAGGTTACAGAGCAAATTCACTTTCTGTACACCACCTCACAAACACTTTGGCTTGTGACATTGACTACAATTTATTCCAATGCAACAGCTCCCCCTCACTTCCTCTCCATAGTTACCTCTTCCCTGTGTCCTTCCCTCCATGTACTCCTGCCCCCTGAGCTGTCTCCCTGTGCATACACAGCCCTTCTATTCTCCCATGATTGATCTCTCCAGGGAGTGTATCTACCTCAGGTAAATGTTCAACTCATAAGCCTGTCTTTTGTTTGGCTGGAAGCCACAGGCGTGGGTTCAGTTCCAGACCTGAAGGGCAGCTAGGGGTCATAGTCTCAGTGGTTCCATCAGGCTCTATCAGAGCAGCAAACCTGGTCCTTTTTTTTTTTTTTTTTAATGATTTTGAGTTTTGTTCCACATTGTTCTCCCACTCTATCCAGGATCTCCTACATAGATTCCTCTCCGAGTGGTTGAAAGTGGTAGCCGGGCACCATCTAGTTCTTCTGGTCTTGTAGTTGTATAGGCTGAGGATCACATGGTGTACCAGTTGCTTGGACTGGTTGTTTCCGTGAATCTTTGGTTTTCTTCATTCTCCTTTGCTCTGGATGAGGAGAGACCCGTCGTTGCATCTAGATGGCTGCTTGCAAGCTTTTCAGATCCCAGTTGCTACTCGTCACAGTAGGAGGTGGAAGGACCAGCTGGTTTGCAGTCCCAGATCTGGAAAGGATGCTGTTCTCCACCAATAGGGAAAGGCGGGCCGAGGTCCCGCTTAGAGAGAGCTTCTGCGGTAAGGATGCAGGAGCAGCGTCTTCTGTCCTCTAACCTCACAAGGGCAGAGAGGCTCCCCAACAACACCCGCAGCCCAAGGCTGATTCCTACGAGGCGGAGGGCAGACCTGCTGCCACCCTGCAGCCTTTTCCCCAACTCTCACACCGGCCGGCCCCCCACCGCCCTCTCTACTTTTCCGCTGGGTTCAATAATTCGTTGCAGTGGTCGCACCGAACTCATAGATGATACTCACGATCATCGGGTTTATCAGGGAAGCCGCAGGTTACGGTTCAGACTCGGGAACGCGCTCAGGATGCAGTTCTTCGGCCAGGAAGTGCACCCCTCTGCATGCCTGCAGGCACCCCTCGCTTTGGCCCTGGCCTCTCGGCCTGCCCTCTGCCCTGCTCAGGCTCGCGTTACAGAGCTCTTTCAGCTCCGCCGAGAGGTGCACCCCACTCCGCCAGCCAGCCTCCTGCCCGAAGGCACTCGGCTTTCTTGCTCTGAGCCAGCAAGCCCTCCACTCTGTCTCGTGCCAGCCTCTCAGTGCTGCCGCTGCCGCCGCGGCCACCACCCCTCTCCCGTGACTGCCGCCATCTCAGCACCGGGCTCTTGGCGAGATGACACGCTATGCTGCTGGCTGCTTTCTCGGATGACAGCGAGATCCCCTTCCGTCTCTGGGAGGGCTCATCGCCTTGTTTGTACAGTCCCAGCTGCACGGGGCACGTCTGCCTCACTTACACTGTTGGCATGCTGTCCACGCCTGTTGGTGGGCCGCAAGCCCCTCACGTTTGCATGGTTCCACCTAGTCATCTGGTGGGAGTCCCAAAGACCACGGCTGGCAGGGCCCCAGTAAGTCACTCACTGCCCCTGCCCCGCTCCTGTGAGCAGGCCCTGGTGGAAGCCCATGTCCTGTGTCATTCGTGGCAAGTCCACCAATGTCTGTCCCATGCTGGCACCTGGGACGGGTGGCAGGAGGGCACACTCGCGTGGTCCTGACCCCGGAGCCCAGGCTTCCTCCTCTGAATGCTCCCTGCCAGCACCCCCCCCCCCATACAGGCCACGCCCCGAGGTCCACCAGGTCCTGTCCCTTCAGCCTCCGTCTCTCCCTGCCCTCCTCTGGCCCTTGTGGTGACTCCTGGTCCATGGTCCCAGGGCCGCGGATCTTGTCCTCTCTTGGATGTCCCAGCTCCTTACTCCGTTCCTGCCCAGCAAGT